AAGGAAGGAAGGAAGGAAGGAAGGAAGGAAGGAAGGATACTGAATCTGCTTCCCCGTTATACTTCCTTTCCTCTGATCAGCTGCCCCCTTATACTTCCTCTTCTCTGTTTTTCCTTTTTTTTTTTTTTTCCTTTTGAGATGACCAAAGTTGTTGGAAAGTGGAAAGGCAAATGGTTTTCTAATAATATTAGCCAAAAAGACACTGTTATTTTGTAGCAAACCCCTGAGACCACAGCAGTTACTTTATGACTACTAACAGCTGGCACTTGAGACTAATGTGAAATTTGGCAGCAAATGCTTTCAACCTCTTACCATTTCCTAAAGATCTGGACTCTTTGTCTTGCATTCTCACAGATCAGCAGAATCAATCTCTCTCTTCTCTCTCTCTCTCTCTCTCTCTCTCTCTCTCTCTCTCTCTCTTTTCTCTCTCTCTCTCCACCCCCACCCCACCCACCCCCCTACCCCAGCCCACTTTTATTTTGGAATCCTAGACATAGCTAAGATAAAAAAGCGTAGATTTCCAGTACACATTCATAGATTCAACAGCAATCTATTGCCATTGAATGTTAGATTCGGGAATCCATTTGGCATTGGGAAGTTGTTCTTTGAATCGTCTCATTTCATCTCTTATGAAGCATCTCATGTCTGTAGTCCATTGACTCTGTGCTTGTTTCCTCGTTCTAAATTTTAATTATACCTTTTGTACGTATCTCATGATACAACTTCTTAACCAGTCCATCTGAATTTTTTCTCTGCCCTTTCAAAGACTGATATCTACTCTGTAAGATCACAATTCACAAAGAAAAGTTCATGTATGCAGATGCTCAGATACAAAAGAGATTCATCACAGCAATTTTTAAAATAACAATGTGCAAACACTAAAAATAACTTCAATATTTAGTGATCAGGGCATGATGACATAAATAATAATCCATTTAATCAGTGGGAAATTATGCAGACCATGAATATATCTGCAAAGGATGTTAATTATCATATAACATTGAGTGGAAAAAAAGAGGAAACAACGTTGTATATAATTTCATTTTAGTGGAAAATAATATATACATGTAGAAAGAGGACCAGAAGGAAATAGCCCCTTCTGTTTGTAGTGGTTACTTGGATAATACCTCTTTCTGTTTATGTTTTTCTCAATTTTCTACAATGAATACATATTACTTTTACATTTGAAAATAAAACTGGTTTCAAAGATCAGAAAGATAAGTTGCTACACCGGAATCCAGAAAGCTGCAGTAAAGCCTTTCCCTTCTCCTAGACTGGCTATTAGAAAGTTGCTTTCTCCTCTGTCTCATTTTAAAGAGGGTAGGTATTGCCATATTATTAAGCAATCAGCCAGTAGGGTTCATCCAAGAGCAATAAACTGATCTCTCAAGAGAAAATTAGTGAAGCTCAGGAAATTAGAGCTAGAAACCCCACTGAGTGATCTAATGCATCCCTCAAGTACCAGCGCCATATACATTACACTTTCTGGTGTAGGCACTTTCATTTCGATTTAATTTGAAAAGTTTCAAGTGATGGCAATTTCACTGCTACATCTTAGACCAGTCAACAAGCTATTAATCCATCTTCCGTGAGCAGAGTGTAATAACTCCAATGAATGTCAGAGATATCCATTTACCTTTCTGGCCTGGACCTGCTAGCTGAACAAATATCTCAGACCTAGTTCAAATTCTGGCACCGCCTCTTAGCTAGAAGACTTTACGCATGTTCCTTCACTGATATATTCCCTAGCTCTCCTCATTTGTGAAAAAGAAAACCTCACCACCTCCCTCAGAAAATTTGCTATAGGAATTAAACGAGATGATACACACAGGGAATGCACTCAGTGCAACAGTGGGTGCTTGGTCGATGTTTGGCAATTCTAGAGTGTTCAGCTCATGTTAAACAGCTGTTTTCCTGGCAGAAGGAAATGAGTCAATAACCCCACCTTTTGGCTTTCCTTAGATGACACTAGTAGGTTACAGTGAACAATACAGTTCAAAACTTTGAAAAGCAAAATTGCATTTGGCACCCAAACCTTGGGCTACTGGCACCAAAGAAATTAACTAGCCTCATCAACACCTGTGAAAAGAAGGGGGAAAAATAAAAACAAAAATATTTTTAAAATAAATTCACTAGGCTCAGATCACAAATTTGGTTCAGAGAGCCCTTTTTTCACTGTGAATTAGAGCCAGAATTGGAAGGCCAGGAGGATGGGGAACGAGGACATGGAATGAAGAGTCACATTTGAGAAGGAATCAATCGTTTGATGAATAGTTCATGGAGAGGCTGAAGGAAAGAGAAGAAGAATGCTGCCACGTGCCTAACTTGGATGACTAAATTCACAGTCTATTCACACAATGAATTATCTATTGAGCGCCTACTAAGGGCCAGGCACGGTGCTGGGTGTTTGGGATAACAAAGCAAACAAAACAGAAAAAAAAAAATCTCTGCCCTTGTGGAGCTTCCTTTCTAATGGAAAAGACAGTAAATAAGAAGACAAATCAATCAATCAATAAGACCATGTCTGACATAGGAAATAAACAAGGAAATGGGATGCAGAATAAGAGGATGGAGCCCACTTTAGATATGATGGCCAGGGAAGGCCTCTGTCAGGAGACAACATGTGAGTTAGGGGGTCCTGGAGGGTAAGAAGGAACCAATAGTTAGAGAAGAGAGAATGCATTCCAGGAGGAACAGTAGGTACAGAGACTTTGGGGTGGGAAAAGGTTAGGTATGTTGGAGAAAGCGGGAAAAATGTCTATGTAACTGAAGTGCAGTAAGAAAGGAGAGAATTCTGGGCATGGTGGTGCATGCCTGCAATACCAGCACTTTGGGAGGTCAGGGTGGGAGGATTGCTTGAAGCCAGGAGTTCGAGGCTGCAGTGAGCTGTGATTGTCCAACTGCACTCCAGCCTGGGCAACAGAGTGAGACTCTTGTCTCTAAAAATAAATAGTTAATAAATAAGAAAGGAGATATTTGGCAGAAGAGACTGGAAAAGTGGGCAGGGTTCATTGACCAATGACCAAGCCTTAAGAAGCAGGTTCTTGGGGAAGAAAATGAGTTCCTCTTTGACACAATGAGTTTGAGACACCTGAGAGAATCTCTAAACTAAAGATCCAGAACTGTGCCCTAAGAATTAGAGACAACTTGGATCTGAGAAATTGCTCAGTTGCACCAGAATCACCAGGGGGTGTTCTAAAAATACAGTTTTCTCAGGCATTAAAAGTACAGATTTCTGGGGTGCTACCTGGGAAATTCTAATCCGAGTAGGTCTTGATCAAGACCTGAAAATCATTCTTTTAATACTTCCAAGTAATTTTGGTCAATTCATTCAAGAAACATTTCTTGCATTCCTACTATGTGCCAGGACAATTCTTAAGTCCTGGAAATATAGTTCTGAACAGGTTACAGTCTAGAGAAAGAACAGACAGTGGACAAGTAAAGAAATAAATTACAGTTGTGACACACACTACACACACACAAAATAACAAGCTGGCCAGTGTAAACTAATGATGGAGACCTATGCTAGATAAATCAAAAATAAACACCTCTCTTTGAGGAAGTTACTTAAGCTGTCACCTGAAGAATAAGAAAGAGGAGCCATGTGACAGTCAGAGTAAAGCTGCTGAAGCAGAGGGGACAGCCAATGCAAAGACTTGGTTGAGAATTCAGTAGATGAATCTCATCTTCTAGCTATTCCCGTTTCATTAATCCATCAAAATGGAAAAGAAGCCATGGTGGAGAATGTACTAGTTCATCTTCGTGTGTTCACCCAGAAAGCTACACTAAGCACATCCCTTGTACCAGGAACTGTGCCAGATGCTGACACGAAGATGAGCCAGATGACCCCCTTTCTCGGGGAGTGTGCAGTCCAATGAGGTAGGCAGATAACCAAATAAGAATGGCTCATGAGATAAGTGAGAATGTCCCAAGCAATCAGCTTACATTCTGAGGGAGCCAAGAAGATGATTAATACTTTTGAGTATTAATCTTTTGATGATGTGAGCAATTGCTTTTGACACTGTGCATAATCAAATTATTTTCATTTATTTGTGGTCCTGCAGTTCAGAATATCTGGATTTTTGGTGAAATATTTGCAAGGGATATCAAGTTTAGGATACTGTATAATGCACTTTATGTTTCAGAATATAAGGAGGAATAGCATGCTAATAATAGCTAATATTTATTGAGCATGTGGATTTACCTGTAATGTACCACTCATAGAAGAGTCACTATGACTTTATGAGGCAGGGACTATTATTATTTCCCCTTTTTCAGATGGAGAAATAGGAGCTTAGCAAGATGAAGGGACTTTCCTGAAGTGACAATTTCCCAGTTCTGTCTGGATTCAAGCCTCAGTTCTGGTCCATATGGCCCTCTCATGAATAGCTTAGACACTGATACAATTGCTTTTCTCCTTGTAGTCCCCAAAGTGAATACCTTTCTTTTCTCCCCAACCCACTCATCCACCTAGATTGCCTAGGCCAGCCTTATCTACCTGCATTTCTCCCCAGGGGTCCTGCAGGTGGAAAAGTGGAGAGAAGAATTCCTTGTTTCCACACTGGGGAGGACACCCGGACAGGCACGGACTGGGCAGTGCCCACTGAGTGACTGTACTGGACTCCCGTCTCTTGAGCTCCCTGTAGAGTGTGGAAAGCTTTGAAGCCAAAGCTGGGCAGCTGGTTCCTAGCCCACCTGGGGTAGTGGGGCGAGGGGGAGGAGAGATTCCTGGAGCTCAGTGTTCAAGGTCTAAGGCACAGGAGACAAATGCCCACACACCAGACAGTTAAGGTAAAACACTGAAGTCAAGAGCAAGTAGTGAGTCTGTTGCCAGCTGGATAGGGTTGGTCTTGTCCTCTCTAAATGTATTTGAATTAAGTGGCTTTTAAAAATGCGCTGGTCATCCTTAGCTCGCGGGCTGGCCAATTTGGAACTTAATGGACCTTTGCATCCTCCTTCCCGGAGCCTCCTTTTATTCCAGACTTCTCAGTGTGAGTCTATGGGTCCCTCCGACGGTGTCTGGGTGTGTCCTTCAGGGAGCGGGGTGCCTTCGTCTGCCTGTCCCCTGTTTCTCGTGCTGACGCTCCCTCTGTCCTCCCCGCCCCCCGTCACTCCTTTTCTCCCTCCCTTCCTCCTTGTGAGGAGTCTCTTGGCCGGGGTCCCTGAGCCCGGGCGGGTGCTGGAGAAGGACGCAGAAGGGGTGAGGTCACGTCTCCCTTGAGCCCCGAGCCGCTGGCTTTTCAGAGCCTCGCCACGAACCAGCGGCCAGAGCCCTAGACCACACAGACCGTGCGCTCCTCCACCCTCCCTGCGCCACCGGCCTCGCCCATGTCTCAGTACGCCCCCAGCCCGGACTTCAAGAGGGCTTTGGACAGCAGCCCCGAGGCCAACACTGAAGATGACAAAACCGAGGAGGACGTCCCCTTGCCCAAGAACTACCTGTGGCTCACCATCGTCTCGTGTTTCTGCCCTGCGTACCCCATCAACATCGTGGCTTTGGTCTTTTCCATAATGGTGAGTGAATTACGGCCAGAGGCAGCCTGGGAGGAGAGACCCGGGCGGCTTCGTGCCCCTGCAGGGGACTCCGCCAGTTCTCTGCGACTACCTCCTCCCGCTCGTGCGCGCTAGGAGTTCTTTGTCCTCACACCTCCTCCTCACCTTTCTCGGGGTCTCAGAGCTCTCCCCGCAATTATCAGCAGCTCCTCTGCACTCGGCTTGGTGCTCAGAGCCCTGATCAAACTTCTCCCAGCCTAGTTCTCCTCTCCCTTCCAGCTTCCAGGATGAGTTTCCTCTCCAACTCGGGGAAGTTCTTCCGCAGACTTTGCTGACTCCTTTGACCTTCCTAGGCACTCACCTGGGGGTTCTCAACCCTCTTTTCTAGAGCCCCAGTGCGCGCCACCCTAGCAGGCATCGGTAAGCCCCTTTCTCTGAGCGCGCAGGCTCTACGTTCCCTTCCCTGATGCGCAGGGGGCTCCTGCTCTCCGGCGCCCAGGACTGTCTCTGTCTCAGCGTTTGCTCCCTTCTCTCTTTGCTGCGCCAAGGGCACCGCTTCCGCCACTTTCCGGGGGTCCCCAGGCCATTCCTGATGTCCCTCTTTGACCCGCTGTTTTCGCGCTTTGGCACGGCACGCTCTGTCCAAGCAAGCGTTCCCTCTCGCTTCTTCCTACACCCGGCTCCTTCTCCTGGCCTCCTTCCTGCAACCCCTTTCCAAGGCACCCGCCCCCGAGGCTAGCTCACACCCGCTACCTCTTTAGGCCTTTCTTAAGCTCTTCGTGTGACCCCTCACCAGCAAAGTGCGTGCGTCTCTCTCTTACTCTTTCTACCCAGCGCGCCGTAGTTCCTCCCTGTTTGCTGTGCAGTAGCCCCACCCTCGCCTCTCTTGGTGTCCCGCAGGGCTCCCGGGCGCCCCTCCGACGCTCTGTCCCGCGCCGGGGGCTCTCCCAAGAATGCACTCGGGGACTCCACGCAATGTGTGGCTCTGCCTGCCCTCTGCGCACCGGCCTCCGGAGCTGCCAGCCTCTCTAGGAGAGGACGCTGGGGCTTCTAGACCGCCCTTCCGGAGCTCAGCTCCCTAGCCCCCTTCAACCCGGCTAGGAACACCCGAGCGAACCCCACCAGGAGAGTGACGAGCGCTTGCTAGGCCCCTGCCTTATTGACTGGAGCAGCTGGCGGCGGGGTGAGGTTCCGGCCGGCAATGTCCCGGGACAACCCTTGCAGTTTCACTCCCTCCCCCACCGGCCCACCTTGCCTGCAGCTGAGCCACCAAACTCCCCGGCCACAGACTGAGAGCCAAATCAGCCCGGTGAAAATCGCCAGCCGCCCCTCTCCCATCAAATCCACCTACGGGTGGTAGCACCATGTGCACTTGGTGGGTACCTGCAAGGCTCCATTTGCACTCATAACTTGCCCTTTCCCAAAGCCGGTTTGTGGGCCGCGTATGCACGGACATGCAAGCGCTCAGCCGCCAAAGTTAAAGCAAGTCTGTATTCAAATTCCAATTCTCCTAGTTTCTAGCTGTGTGATCTCTGAAGTCACTGCATCTCTGAACCTCAGTCTCTGAAGTTCAGATGTATCATGAATGTATCATGTTACATTTGTAAAACCGGAAAAATCATAGCTATATTTCTTGGGGTTGTTGGGAGCATTCATGACATAATAATTGCAAAATGCCTGCTTAGAACAGTGCCAAGCATGGTACTTTTACAAAGTCTTTACTCAAATGTCGCTTCATGAGGTCTTCTATGATTACTGTTTAAAATCAGGACCCCACCCACTCACCCACCCTGCTCACGCTCTGCTCCCCCTTCCCTGCTGCCTTTTGACCAAAATACTTCTCTCCATCTGATATACTCTTTTAATTGTTTATATGTTTACAGTCTGTGTCCCTCTCGTTAAAATATAAGCTCTATGAGGACAGGGATATTTGTCAGTTCCTGTAGTTTCAGCATCTAGTAGAAAATCTGGCACGTGGTGGATGCTTAATAAGTATTATGAAATGAATGCATGCATGAATGAGTGGTGTGGATGAATCATTAACCATTTTTTCCCATCCTGGATCCCTGGAAGCCATAGCATCCGGTTTCTTCCGACAAACCAGCCAATTTCCTCCCTTCCTTCCTCTCCCCAGATATCCGATCTTGGCTTTCTTTTTTCTTTTCTTTTGTTTGTTTGTTTTTTTTTTTGTTTGTTTTTTTTTTTTTTTTTTTTTTTTTTTGCGGAGAGTCTGGAAACAATGCTGCCGCCAAATTCTCCAGGCAGCAGCAGACTCTGTGGCTGAAACTGGTGCCCACATTCTATCGTGGTTTGTTGATGAAGCAGCCAATTCACCCCTTTCCCAGTACCACTTAGAAAACTGCCTGCAAAGGCTTTTTCCTTCATTGGTCTGAAATGAACTGGCACTCCAGCTGGTAATGACAGGTCAGATACTAATGATGCTGCTTGATATGCCCTGGGAGATGAGGTTTGCATATGCTTTGAATTGAAACTACTTTTTCTAATCTCCTCTTCCCATTCCCTCCCTTAATCCTTTTTCAATAATTTTATAGCAAGAGACTATTCTGTTGCCAGAACAGACATTGGGGACAGTTTACTATGGACGAGTTTTGTATCTCTCTCTTTTTTTTATTTGTAAATGGAGTCTCACCTGTCACCCAGGCTGAAGTGCAGTGGCACAATCTCAGTTTACTGCAACCTCCGCCTCCCGGGTTCAAGCAATCCTCCCACCCCAGCCACCCCAAGCAACTGAGACTACAGATGCGAGCCACCATGCTCAACTAATGTTTATATTTTTAGAACAGACGGGGTTTCACCATGTTGCCCGGGCCAGTCTCAAACTCCTGACCTCAAGTGAGCCACCGGCCTCAGCCTCCCAAAGTGCTGGGATTACAGGCGTGAGCCACCATGCCTGGCCAAGTTTCGTACTTTTTTAAAGCCTTGGTTTCTTCATCTATAAAATGGGAATGTGAAAGCCGTTTTAAGTTGAGCAAAAATGCTGTAAGGATAAAACACAACAAAGCATTCTAGCTCTTGGCACTGTACCAGGTACGTGCAGTATTGTCAGACAGATGTATAGATTTGGAACCTGGAGCTATCGTAACAAACAAATTCTAAACAACATGTCCTACACCCTTCCTGTTGCGCTTTCTCTAAGGTACTGGAAGTGTTTTCCCATTGACATAGCGCAGTTCTGGGCTTGATCAGTTTCATCACAAGGACTCCAAAGTCCAAAGGACAAAGAGAGACAGGAAGGGTGTGCAGAAAGAAGATGGGAGACCAATTCTGCCAGGCGTTTGCAGATGACAAGACACCCCTAGGGTGTCTTGTGATTTTCAGTCCTGGCTATTTTCAACTCTCACTTCTCTGTAATTTATAATAAGTTTAGGCACAACAGTGGTGTACCAGGGAATCTCCATGGGGGAGCTCCATTCCCCATGAAGGCATTTAGAAATGTGAGGGAGCATTTGTGGTGCTCTCAATAATTTGGGGTATTACTGGCATTTGGTGGAAAGAGCCAAAGTACTAATGCCTGCCATGCTGTGGGCTGTCCCCCAATGAAGAATGGACATATTCCCAATACTAAAACTACTCCATCCCAATGCAGAAGGATTGTAAGATGATTCAAATCGATATAAACAGGATTGTGTGGAACATATTGACAAGGCTCAAAATAATTCATTTCCAGAATGGTAAAGAAAAAGAGCCAACAGTCTCAAAACAATCAATACTTTTATTTATTAAACCAAGCCTGAGAAGCTTTCCATAAAATCACCAAATTAGAGTAGGTGCTGGCAAAGAAAAGTACTTTGGAAAAATACACATTCAAGAAGAGTGTTCTTCAAGTTGTGGATTTCTGTGTTCTTTCTACCACCCCATGTAGATCCAGGGGAGTCCTGGGGCCCTGGAGACTAGGAGGTGGCACACCACATATGGGTTCTAGTCCAGCATGTCTTGTTCTGTTAGAGGTTGATGGATCAAGCATTGTCAAGGACACAGAAGTGTTTCTTCCTCTATGTATTGAAAGTCTATTTGTTGAAAGCATACTTAACCTCAATTTGAGGGACACATGTCTCAAGAATTTCCCCCTAGACTGGGTTCCTGGTAGTTCATATTGCACCTGTGTGTGAATTTGAAGATGGCACATTTTCTCCATGCAGACACAGCGCTGCACCAGGGCACATAGCTTGGTGAGGAGCACAAGCTGGCCATTTATTGAGCATCTATTATGTACCGGGCTCTATTCCAGCTATTCCTTTATCTCTATCAAGTGGAAAATAAGATCAGCAAGGTCTCTGCCCTCCTGGATCTCAAAGAAGTGAGGCCCTAGGCAAGTTGAAAGAGTGTTGGCAAATTTAGGCTTAGTTCACTGTCTATTAGTTTTGTAGCTGGAATTTGCTACCTGACTCAGAGGACGAGTTCATGCCAACCCTCAATTCTTGATGACGTCATGATGTAATCATTTGCAAAACCGAACCAACTCGTCACTCTAATCATGGATACAAAATAACCAACGACTTTTTACTGGGTGGCTTATATGCTTTTCATTAGAACTTCTCTCACACACCTACCAATAGGTGTGTGGGGATTTGTCCATTCTTCATTGGAGGACAATTCATAGCATGGCAGGACATTAGTACTTCGAGTCTTTCTACCAAATGCCAGTAGCACACACAAATCACTGAGACCACCACAGATACTCCTACATTTCTAAATGCCTTCATGGGGAATGGTGCACCCCCAGTCAAGATTCCCATGCACACCATTGCCTCAGATGTCTCACACACATCCCTGTCTACAGAGCCTGTCTAGAGACCAGCCATTAAAGTTAAAATCCTTTTCCTTGATGTGCTTGTGATTTTACACAAGTGCCTCGATCTTTCTGAAGCTTGGTCTTTCTGCCTTGTAAAATGGGGGTTGTGATAGTATTTACCCAAGTGCAATTGTGGAGATTAGATAATAAAAGTTAAAACGTTTTCATGTTACTTCTTAGAACACAACCAGAACTCAATAAGTATTGATGGTGATGATGGTGATGATGATAATGGAAGATTCTAGAGATACAAGCTATTACCTTTTCCAGTTTTTCTGTTTATATTCAGACTAGAAAATTTGATAAGAATAAAAACAATGACCAGTAGTAGACATGTCACTGGAATAAAAATTTGTTGCAGCTTAAAGGTAAATAATAATGCCATACTGAAATACATTGAAATAAGCAAGAGGACTTTTGGTTAATAATGAAATATTGAACCTACCTGTTTTACTCCCATCCCTTCTAAGATCACTTAAAATGACAGTAAGTGCTATTTGGTAGCACAATAGGGTGAATATAGTCAATAATAACTTAATTGTACATTTTTAAAATAAACTGAAGGGTGTAATTGCATTGTCTGTAAGGTAAATGGTAAATGCTTGAGCGGATGGATACCCCATTCTCCATGATGTGCTTATTTCACATTGCATGCCTGTATCAAAACATCTCAT